GTCAGGCGGCAGTCAGTGATGTGCATGTTGGAGCTGCTCTGGTAGCAGTTGGTCTGCCCGTTCTTGCAGGGCACATTTTTCTGGAAGCAGACAGCCTGGACATCTGCCAGGGGCTGGTGCACGAAGGTGTTCACTGGCTTGCAGCGTCCCTGTGTCATATTCCGGCGCTTCATCATCTCATTGCAGTAGTTGGGGTTGCTGCCGGGGGAGCTGCCTGAGTCCACGTGCTGCCTCTGGAACCTCATGGCTGAGGATTCTTTGTCCTGAGGAGGCTGGACCCACCGCAGCCCCAGGAGCACCAGGACAAGCAGTGGGATCAGGACAAGGCACGTCTCCAGAGTCAGGGTGAGCTCACTGTCCTGGGAGAGTGTAAATGAGAAAAGGAAGAGAAGGAAGAGCATGCTGTCAGATACTGCGCTCTCGCTCCCCCCTGCTGCTTCCGGCCACACAGCTGCCCTTTCCCTGAGACATTTCCCAGGTGCTGGGGCCCTCACACTAAGCCTCTCTGAGTGCATTTGTCTCTCCTTGGTCAGAGAGAAACCATCTTTCATCTAGTTGGTGATCTACAATGTCTGCTAGAATCCTGACAGCTCTTCATTTGAATACTGTTTCCTCTAAAATACATTTGAAAAATAAGGTACATATTTTCCCCTGAGTTCAAAGCTCTAATCAGATCATTTTGAACAAACCATGAGACAAATTTTATCACTGAGTCATGGCCATGACATCCAGGATGACGGGTGACAGAGCTTGGAGTCTCCGAGCACAAGGGAAACTGCGGTGTCTGACACTGACATCACAAAGGGGTTCTGCTGCATTCCAAGGGGAGGTGCTCGCTCGCCCAGCTTTGGGGCTCCTTCTTCTCCAGGCCCATGAGTTCTTTGTACCTGCCTGTTCTTGCTCACCCTGGCAGCTCTCTGCCCCAGCTGGTGTTTGCATGGCCCACGCTTTTTTGGTGCTATGAGAGCCCAAGCTTTCTCAGTGCACCATCCACCTTCACTCCCTCTTCCCCAGCCTGCAGCAAGGGACGCTCCTGAGACCACAGTGTGGGCTCCTTACCTGGGTCCAGAGTGGGAGGTCAGTTTCTGTAATCACTCAGCCCCTGGGCTGTGCCCCTTATAGAGAGGCAAAGTGGTCTGGTTTGCAGGAAAAGTGGGAGGAGCATGTTGGGTCCACTTGGATAAAAACAAGGACCTTGTCAGGGAAGGGTGGGGATTGGCCCAGGCCATCTCCTCAGGCTTGCTGGGGGAGAGGGAATCTGCCTGTAGGACTCTCTCTCCTATGTGACGCTCATCTGTCACTGATGCGCAGACAGCTGCAGAGAAACCACCACAGCACAGGCAGGCAGGCCTCACACACCCAGCCAAGTCCTTGTCACTCTTTGCCTGCCTTTTTCTCCATTTTCCCTTGGTCCTTAAGGAAGAGCAAATAAGGTGATTATGGGTGAGGACAGCCCTTTTTTCTCAGCTGTCTTGAAAAGGCTTTTGCCAGAGTTCCACATCTCCCAACAGCACCTCTCCTGGGAGGAAAGCAGGGAAGAGGGGTTCTCTGCCTTCAGCCAGAAGCTCTCCTAGACCTAGGGAAGAAAGGAGAGAGTGTCTGGACAGGGAGGACAAGGAGGCTTCCAGGGTCAGCTGCCCCAGTCTCACCACTTTCTGGCCCCTCCAACCCCTTGTGTGCATTGAGAGTGTTGGGCAGTTCTTATCTACAGTGACCTCTGATCAGACCTGGGTGGAGGAACTAAAGATAAACCAAAGCCCCCAGTCGTATTGGAGAAAACATACAGAGACTGTATTTCTTAGCACCAGGACTACCTTCCAGGAAGAGGACTATTTTTGCTGAGAAACAGCTTCGATGCATCTTTAATAAGAAATATCAGAGTAGCCCTCCACGCTCCCAAACTGCCTCAGTCCAAATCCTGGCTCTGTACCTTAAGAGGTAAGCACTTTCCAGAAATTTATTTCTCTGTTCCTCCCAAGATTTAACTATGATGAATTGTGCTACTCTAAACTTGGGTACACAAGGTCAATGTAACACGATGTCTTCAACTCTTTTGGGAAGAGATCTAGAAGGGGACTAGCTGGATCAAGTCAAATTAGAGTTTTACCTTCCTGAGGAATCTCCACACCGGCTTCCGTAGTGATTGTACCAACTTACATTCCCCTCAACCTGTAGAAGTGTTCCTTTTCCACCCCGCAGCCTTGCCAGCATTTGTAACCACTGGCTTTCTGGATATGGCCATTGGGTCTGGAGCGAGATGTTATGTCAGCGTTGTTTACTTTGCATTTCTCTAATAGCCAGTGATGTTAAACCTGTTTTCATGTGTGTTTGGGTATTTGTATTTCTCTGAAGAAGTATCGATCTATTTCAGTTGCCCATTTTTTGATTGGGTCTGTTATTTTGAGGATTAATTTAGCAATCTTTACATACTCTAGATGTTGGTCTCAGTGCGGTGCGTAGCTGCCAAAAAGTTTCCCTCATCTTGTAGGCTGTGGCTTTGCTCTGTCGATTGTTTCTTTTTGTGTGGAAAAGCTTTTAAATTTGATATGGTCCCGTTTACTGATTCTTGGAGTTATTTGTGTGCTATTAAGGTTCTGTTTGGAAATGCTTGCCTGTATATATGTGGTCAGGATTTTATGTATTTTATCTTGCAGCTAATTGTGTCTGTCTGAACATCTTGATCCCCTTAGTGCATGGGGAGAGCTGTGGGTCTAGATTCCATTTCTGCACACGGACAGGCTGTCTTCCCAGAAGGATTCGTGAAAGACTCCACCTTTTCTCCAGCAAAGGGTTTTGGCCCCTTTGTCAAAGATCATTGGGGTTTTTCTGCATTCTGTGTTCTGTGAACGTGCCTGGGGTTTTTCTGCAGTCTGTATTCTGTTCCATGGCTCCACAGCTTCACGTATTGTCTCTAAATGAAGGATGATTCAGTGAATTTCTTTTTTTTATTTTAAAGAGAATAATAAAAAAAATAGCAAAGTAGCATAAGGACCCAAAATGTACAAATGTGCATTTAAATTACATGTATATATACCAGTTTACAAAAGTAAAACTACTACCCAGGTCCAGATAATGAACAATATCTGACATATGACTGCCGTATTATTTACCACACAATGTCTCTTAAATGTAAAATACCTTCGACTTCCTTACATTTGCTTCATAGACATGTTGCTTTCTTTCTCTGTGACCCAGAGAGATTTTATTGCCTTTAATCCATATTTATCTTAGTTTTATCCAAATGTAATTAACTCAGATCAGAGTTTAAAGTTTAGTCAATTTGGACCTTCTTCATTTATCCACTTCTGAGTATTATTCACCTCTACCTCTATCAATATCTTTTATGCTAATTTTAATGCCTCCTCTTTGTTTTTGTTATGCTACTTGTTCTTGATGTTTCACTTCTTTTCAATTCCAGAACGTTGGAATGTACATATTCTATTTTTGTTTACAACTCTGACAAACTGACCTGTGTCAACTAACGTCCAGTAAAATAACTACTAGTTTGCCTAATTCAGTGCATCAAGCAGTATTTTATGCACCCCTGTGCAATTAGTGCTTTGGAAATTTTCTTATGCTATCAGTTAACATTATGGACTTGCTACTTTTTTCCCTCTGTAATTAGACAGAAGGGAAAGAAAACTACCATTTTCCAATTTTCTCAGATTAACTGTTAGAATGCCTTTACTGTTTCTGTTCTATATACAGTGAGAAGCACTTTTATTTTCTACACATTTACCTTAGCAATATGAATCTTTATCTGTAACACTATAGGGAAAAATAAAGCAGTATTTATTTGCCCAATACACTATTTGTCATGCTCTTTAGCAGTTTAGAAATACAGAAGCTGAGAAGTGTAGGTGTATCTTACAAATCTGCTTCTGCATTTAACTCTGTTACCCCACATGTAACAATTTTAGACAGCCTGCATGCTTCTGAACTACCATTAATTCTACACTTACCATGAAGTCCTTCATACAATTGCCTTCCTACACTTTCAGGACTTCTTTTTTTTTTTTTTTTTAAATGTTTTCTATTGGCTGCCAGATGTTGTTGGAGAATATTTTCAGACAAGGTTCTTGGTTGATAAACCTTCAGAGTGCCAGGTATCTGGGCATATCTTTCACTTGTTTTCATATGGAAATAAAAGAATGGCAGGGTATATAGTTCTTGGTTCAATTTTATTTTCCTATTGTTTTCAGGAATTTAGAATTATAAGAGAAAAATTTGAAGTCAGTCTGACTTTTGCCCCTTTTTTTAGTTAACCTGCTTTGTCTGAATACTTGTAAAATATTTTCTTTGTCCTTGAAATTTAAAAAAAATCACCAGAGTATGTTTTGATGTTGCTTTCTTTCCAGTAAAATTAAGAGGTACTCTGAAGCTTTTTTTATTTGTAAGCCTACTTTGTCCTTCAGGTCTGGAAAGTTTTCTTCAATTAGTTCCTTAACTATTATTTCAACTTCATTTTTTCTTTTTTGGGTCATTGGTTGTAGGTATTGTATTACATACAGACTGTATCTCTTAGACCAGCTCTATCTATCTTTTTCTCTTCTTTTCTTTTTTTCTTTTTTTTCTTTCTTGAGCCCAGGTCTTGGGCTTTTTTCTTTTCTTGAGCCCAGATGGGGCCTTGAACTCACTTTGCAGCCCAGGCTGGCTTCAAACTCAGTGATTCTCCTGCCTCAGCTTCCCAAAAGCTGGGATTACAGGTGTGCACCTGGTTGTCCTGTTTTCCTATCTTGATTTCTTCTGCCATTTTCTCTTCATTCAGTGGATTTCTCATTTTGCCTTTGCCTCAGAAATTTTATTTTGTGTTTGGTCTTACTCATGTCTTCCTTTAACGCTCTCAATTCAAAAATCTTCCATTTGCTTTAATACCATCTGCTTTACCCCTGAGCAAGTCTTTAATGTCTCCTGTGATAAAAATGTTTAACATGTTCCAGCTCTTCTAGTAACCATTTCAAAAGGAGGCATTTCCTCAATTACTTAGCTTTGTTTCTTTCTAATGAACTGTGATAACTTTAACATTTTCAAAATTCTTAGCAATAGGGTCCAAAAATGAAAGGTTGTTTCTGAAGTGCCAAAGTTGCAGAACAGGGGTTTCGGAGCTGAGTGCCCGCAGCTGACTATACATTTTTTTTTTTTTTAAACTTCTTACTGAGGGATGCAAAGGATCCTCCAAGACTCTCAATGGAGAAAGTGACCTTTGAGGATGTAGCTGTGAACTTCACCTCGGCAGAGTGGGCTTTGCTGAATCCATCCCAAAAGAAGCTGTACAGAGGTGTGATGTGGGAAACACTTATGAATGCTAATGCTATAGGAAGAACATGGATAACCAGCAAATTGAAGAACAGGAGAAAATTTGCTCAAGAAATCTAGGATATGATACAGAGAATTACTTGAAGTTTGAAGAGAAGCTAAATAAATGTAATGAACATGGAAGTAATTGCAGTGTTTTCCAGCCCGTTCAGAAGCACAAAATGAGAAAGACTGGAGAGAAACTCTATCAATATGGGCAGTGTGGGGAGGTCAACTCTGATCTTAGTGAACTAAGTCACACTGAGCAGAAAACATTTGTAGGTAAGAAAAATATGAAGGCCCCCACAACACCAAAGGATGTTCAATTCCATAAAAATACTCAGAGTTTGGGGAGTCTGTATCTATACAAACACTGTGAGAATAGTTTTAATTCTTTATACCTTACCCAAAAGGTTGAAAGAAGACATGCTGAAGAGAAACCCCATGGAAGTAAGAAATGTGCAAATGCATCAGTTGTTAGTAATTCCTACCCAAAACATAAAAATATTCACACTGTAGAGATACATTTTGTATGTAACCAATACAAGAAAGGATTTGCTCTTAAGTCCTTATTTTATATACATAGAATATCCCAGACTGGAGAGAAAAAGTATGTATATAAGCAATGTGAGAAAGTATTCAGCAGGCACAGTGTCTGTCAGAATCATGAAATAACTCACACTGGGGAGAAAACTTATGTATGCAAAAAATGTGGGAAAAATTCAGTACAATCACAGGTTATAAAATGCATAATAGCACACATACTGGGGAGAAGCCCTCTGTGTGTAAGCAATGTGGGAAATCTTTCAGCCAAGATGGTAACCTTCCTGTACATGAAAGAATTCACACTGGGGAGAAACCCTGTGCATGTAAGCAATGTGGGAAAGTATTCAGGCAAAATGGTACCCTTCTAGTACATGAAAGAATTCACACTGGGGAGAAACCCTACATATGTGAGCAATATGGGAAAGCATTCAGCACGCACAGCCTCTGTCAACGTCATGAAAGAACTCACAGTGTGAAGTAACTACGCATGTAACAAATGTGGGAAAGCACTCAGCAGAAATGGAAAACTTGAAGTACATGAAAGAATGCACACTGGGGAGAAACACTATATATGTAAGCAATGTAGTAAAGCATTCAACAGACAAAGGCACTGTCAACATCAGGAAAGAACCCACAATGTGGAGAAAACCTGTGCATGTAATGAGTGTGGAAAATCTTTCCAACACCAGAGTGAGAGTCATACACATGGAAGAATTCACACCAGAATGTAACCTTATGCCTTTTAATAATGGGGGTAAACATTCAGTGCAAAGAAATACGGCCAAATACAGGAAATAGTGCACATAGGAGAAAAATCCTGTGTATATAGGCAGTGTGGAAAATACTTGCTGCAAGATTTTCATTTTAATAGGATTTTCATCTTAATAGTAGGAAATTCCCTTCAAACTGGAGCGTGACTCTGCATAAAAGAAATGTCGGGAAAAATTCAGTTGACAGAGATGCTATCCTTCAGAATGATGTCAAATTCTGGCCAATCCCTATGAATGGAATGTGGAAAAGCTTTCAATACACATGGCTATTGTGAAATATGTGAAAGAAATCAATGGATTCAAATTCTACCTATGTAAGACTATTTTGAAAATCCTTTGAAATTTATTCATGTAGAAGAGACCAGTAGAAATAATATAAAAATATTGATGTTAATATAATTTCCAGAAAACACACTCATAGATGGATATATCCTAAAGTAGTCATTTCGTGTTTTTCAATATATCACACAGAAATATCTGATCTATGTATCTGTGGTCATACTACTAAAAATGACATCTTTTTAAGAAAATTTAAGTGTGCAAAAAATTTTTTCCTGACATTTTGATCCACTAATACCCAGTCTTCAAAGATGACACCTATTTTTCTCATGATCATTGTTTCCCACCTGGATTTGTAACTCATGTGTCAGTTTCTCTAGAAGGGTCCACACAGACATATTTGTAAGTGTACTTTGCCAGTTTTCCTGGCATGTCCATGAAAGCATGTTGATGTTAACATAAATCACTAAAGCAGCAGTTATTTTAAAGGACTTATAATTTTATTAGTATGTATTTGTAGTGCATAATATAAATGTTCATCTTTGGAACACCAAAAAAAAAAAACCAAAACAAAAAGTTGCAGAACATCCAAAGTCAACATATGAATTTTAGGGGACAAACATATTCAGTTCCTAACAGACATGGAAGCGGTTAAACTCTGTCTGGCCAGTTACACAGCAGATCCTCTTATGAGATAAAGGGATTTTGCCCCTTTTGATTAGGCCAGATGTGATTGAGAGCAAAACTTTCCCATTCTGGAGATATCTGAGGAATGAAAATATTAAATTTATACTTGCTGGGGGACTGATCTGTCTAGGTAATGAACAAGTCCATTAACTCAGATGGCTCAGAAGTTCTTACTCCTGCATGCGTGGTGGCACAGCCTGTAATCCCAGCACTGGGGAGGGTGAGGCAGGAAGGTTACCATGACTTCAAGACCAGCCAGGACTACATAGTGAGACCCTGTGTCAAAAAATAAACAAATAAAAAACCAAAAATTAAATAAAAAATGTTCTTACTCCTGAAATTACCCCTCACTGTTTTATGCTAATCTTTTGTCTTTCTCCAATGCAGTGATAATTCTGATGACTCTACTTCATATGACTCACGTGTGGAGACATGACCATCATGTAACAATGAATATAAAATGATTTCATTGCATGGGATCGTAAGTGGAAGCCTAGTTTGTGTACACACACACACATCCTCTACCAAAGTCATTTTGTCTGAGCCCTACATTTTACAGATGAGGAGCGCTGGCAGGATCTGGCAGGATTCCAGGGTCAATGAGTTAAGGATCACACAGCTTCTTGCCTCAGCATCCATTCACAGAGCTGAGATCACGTCACGGCCTCAAATGCCGCTACCCGAATTACGGCACTCGGATGCTTTGTGACACGAGTCCCAAGGGCAGTCTGTTCAGGGAGGTCCCCGGTCCTCACAAGCTCACCCTGCTGAGGTCCTGTGAGGGCCTCACACCATGTCTGGGTGCAGGTAGGAGAGAGAGAAGGGATTCACCTCACCTGGGGCTGTAGAAGTGGCCCCTTCACAGATGACCTCTGTGGTATTCTAAGTGTGTTCTGTGTCCTCACAATCAGACCCAAGTCTTTTCACGTTTCGCTCATGGGAAAACATAAGAAACACCTTCCCCAAGCTCATGGGACAGGTGAACAGCACAGCTATGAGTCAAACTCTGATCTATGGCTTTTATAAGTTCATGCACTCTGCACAGACAGCCATGCTGGCTCCTCTTAAATGAAGAACGTGAGGAAACTAGGAGGTTGAGATGGGGTAACAGGTGATGCTCCAAGCGGTGAAATGTCATTTTTAGGGAAGGTTGTCTAGGAAGAACAAACTTTGACAATGTAAGAAGACAGAGGTCTCTCTGAAAGCTCCATAGGGAAAATCCAACTGCTCAATATCCCAACAGTAACCATTACTACTGAGAAACAGTGCAATAGATCAGCCTGCCAAATCCAGGCAACTAGGGTGTAGACCCTGGTAACAGTGCCTGTTTACCTCAGGGTTACCCATGTCTCGGGCATCCCACACCACAGCGCCCTCTCACCTGTACTATTAATTATTATTTCACTTTAATCTAAGTTACATTTTCACAGTTTTCTTGATGGAGTAAGAAACATGAAACCTGAGGTTTGGTATATTACTTGTTAATGCACGTTAGCATAAACCCTTATCCTTAAACCCTTTAAATGTGTCTGTGAGCCTGTGACATCGGTCATCTTACTTCTCACTGCCTTGACACAGCTCGTTCTTTTAGGTACAGCTTTACTGTGAACTTCAACTTGAAAAATTCTACCTGGAAAAAGTCCTTTTATGGAAGGATGAAAGAACGAGGACAGCAGAAAAGAAGAGGCCTAAAATGAATGATTTTGTCATGCTTGTCCAATTTTATTCAAAAAGAGGTTAAACCAAGCAGGTCTAATGCGTCATTATGGAAATGTTCCTAATCACTTGCTAGGACACTTCCTCATCTTTCTCATGGACTAAACAAGAGAAGCAATTTTTCTCAACCTTTCCCTTTTCCCTGATTCAGTGCATAAAGTAACGTGCTCATCGCTGATTCTTTTCATCTTAGACCTAGCAAGGGCCTCGGTAAAGGCCCTCTTTATCCTAAATTGGTGGATGGTTTCATTTTCTTTAAAATCAACCTTCCAAAGTTTTCAAAAAAATTATTTTCTTCCAACTCTCCTCTGACACATTGCTCTATAATTCTATTTGAACATCCTTTTCAAGCCTCCCTGGACAAAGAAATTATTATCAGTGCAGAGAGCATGAAAGGCCATGAATTTTCCTATTTCATTCTGCAACCTGCTCAAATATGTGAAACTATACAGCTGTCCGGGGGCCTCAGGAGACATCCATAGGAGGCTGCACATAGGAAGAATGAGCCCTCAGGCCAGGTTCAGTGCACCAAGCCTCTGCAACTACCTGAGTTCGTTCCTTCTCCACGCTGGAATTAAGTTCACCAGCCCCGTGTCACTATGAAAACCCTTTACACGGCACCCACAAGGAGTGGGCGCCGCCTTTCCCATGGCCGGCCACTGTGCTGGCGAAGCTGTGTGCGGACGGTCGCTGGCTCCTTAGTAGCAGCTCAAGGGCACACAGTGCAGGAGTGACCCACAGCTGAAGAAATGCCAAGTGCTAGACATCAACATGGCTTCAGCCACCTGTGGCCAGTGTCCTCAACAGTTGCTTTTACCTGAATTACAAAAGGCATTTTCCTGGTACCCTTACCTTACAGTGTCCCTTATTTGCAAATCATGGAATAACTAGCCAATAATTCAACGCTTCTCCAACACTGATGTGATGATTAAGCTAATACAATGATGTAATGAGCTCATATTTAACAGTCTTTAGTACTGAAGACAAAATCATACCAAGAACCCAGGGTACTTTCTTAACACGTTCATATTAATTTTTGTTTCACAGAGACAGGTCCTTAGCCCAAGATCTTTCTAATCAACTGTCACTTGGATTTACTCTAGAGGACATAGAGACAGTTAAATAGTTGCAGAAGGATCACACAAG